ACAAATTTTGTCGTCTAATAAAATATATTACCTCACCCATCTTGTCTCTCTAGCATGTATCTTTGACATGTATCCTTTGGCTTACCTATAAATCCTGATTAGATAATATCTGAGAAAAGTGCAGGTGAAAAACATGTTGAACAAATTATGCTATTTGTATACATTGCCATATTAAAAGGTACATCGTTTTCAAGACGGATTTCTAGAGTTAAAACAATACGGGGTCAAAATTTTATAAAATAGCATAACAATATAGAAATACAGTCCTCATGCACACTCTCCAGTAACCTAATTAACATAACATTTTATGCTATGTGTAAAGAGGAAAAAGAATATAATATCCTACTTAACCCTGGTGACTCAGTAGTTACTATAAAAATAATTTGGGGGCAACTCCAAGCTACACAGTGTCCCTATAACAAGATGTTGTTATATTACCATACCTCACATTTTACCAATAATTGCCCCCAAAATTGTTCAATATAATTGGCTCATTGTCACTTAATGAAATTACATATTCTTACATAGTGCATAGCATTAGAATTAGTGTGATCAAAATAAGTCCATGATATATACAAGTCAACTGTAATAAAATAAGTAGTCTAGCTACATATCTTAAATAATTAGCAAATATGACTTTCAGCAAACAACTTTCCTTGTAACTGTATACACGGTAATTGTTTCCTACTATACTTGTAACTGTATACACGGTAATTGTTTCCTACTACACTTTCTTCTGTAACATAGTAAACTATGAATTGTAGTCTTTATTTTCCTGCTATTTTGAATTAGTGAAAGGTTAAACATTCTTTACAGCTAATAACATTTTGCAATGTCAGAATTTAAACATTATTCTGTCCAAGCTTAGTATTTTTATCTACTTTTGTAGTAGATCACTCAAAAAAAAATCTTGATTTATCAAGTTGTCTTTTTTGGAAAATGTGGGGCTTTTTTTTCACCTTTACGTATCATCATATTAGATGATATAGCTGAAAATATTTTTTTCTTTTCTGACTTTTAGGTTTTTGTGAACTTAGAAAACTACTAAAACTGCAAGTACTGAACAAAAGGAACACTTGCCTTGCTGATTTCATTTTTACACATACAGCAGCAATATTTTGCACTGTCAAAGAGAGTCAGAGTATGGCAGTAATGGGGGGAAAACTATTTGTCCTGTATTAGTAACAGTTTACTATTAAATTTGCTAAAAGGTAAGGGCTGTGTTAAACTAACAGCACTGCTCACTTCAGCAACAACAGGGGGAGGAATAGCTCAGTGGTTTGAGCATTGGCCTGCTAAACCCAGGGTTGTGAGTTCAATTCTTGAGGGGGCCACTTAGGGATCTGGGGCAAAATCAGTACTTGGTCCTGCTAGTGAAAGCAGGGGGCTGGACTTGGTAACCTTTCAAGGTTCCTTCCAGTTCTAGGAGATAGGATATCTCCATTAATTTAACAATTCTATACAACAACAGAACTCACATAAAATTCATTTGTATGGAAAAGTGTAATTTTAGAATCTTGAACATGTGACTTATTCTGTAAAATTCTTGTTGATGGAACTAACAAATCAACAGTATACTTAACTAATTAAGAATGCTAATAGCACAGACAATTTTATGGAAATAATATATTAGATTTAAAGCCATATTTCAATTATTTTGTTGAGTTTATATACTCCAGATTAATTATTTTACTACATTAGTCTGTTTTTTAATCATGGATAATTATTCAAACTTTTGGCTCAAATATGACAATATTTTAAAAAATGCTAAATCCCATCAACTCCCCAAAGACAATTGCATTTAATGACTAGAGTAGATCTATCCTCAAGCCACCAACTTTTTAGTCAAGATTTTATTTTATTTTTAACAAGTTCTGTTTACTCCATATATTTTTACATACCGTAAAATATTGTAACTATATCTGTTGTTAATTCACACTACACTTTATTGTCATGAACAAAATGTAAGATACATTCTATAGATTTTTTTTTTTTTTACTAAAGGAAAGGCTAAGTCTGTTTACCCTTTATTATATTGTCTATGAAATTTAATTTGATTCTATCTTAATTAAATGTTTGTTTTTGCAGTACATCCATCAGGGGGAAAAATCAGTTTTGCAGAGTATATCACATTAAAAAAATACAGAAAAAAATCAAACAGCATTTTTTCTGTTGAAGTGATGGCCAAATTCAGCGCTGGCTTAAAGGGGTACAACTTCCTTGATTCTATAAGAATATGCTTATTAGGAATCTTTGTTTCAGTTTTGAGCTGGCTTCAAAGTTCTATCCCCCCTCTCTTGCTTTATTGCTGTTTTTTTGAAGTTTAATGTTCCACCTGTTCCAAACAAATTGGACTAAAAATAGTGAAAATGATGCACACTATTTAAGATAGTTGCTGAGTTACTGGTCAGAGATTTCTGACAAGGCAAATTATAGGGACCCTGTATATTTATGCCTAGAGTGTTTGTTTCTATTTCCTTATTCTTTTATGCTTAGTGCGTTTGTGTTTAAATAAAACAAAGCATCTGATTAAGACTGCACTTGAAATTCATGGCAATAGGAAATTTCGTCTAGCATTTCTATGAATGTTAGGTTTGCCTTCATAGTAGTTTTGCAGAAATTCAGCATCTAGCTAGGCATTAGTTAATGGACACTTAAGATAAAGTGTTACCCCTTTTAGCTGTTCTCTTACATAACTGTTCCCTGTAGCTTGTGGAATTCAAGGTTACCTGGAGGTCAGATTGCACTTTACATGTTTAAGAAGACATACAAAGATTTTGCAGTGATATTGTCATTATTTAACTACAGCCTGACATGACATTTAAAAATAAAAAGGTAAACCAGAATTTTTTAGTGTTTTTAATTTTAATTTGGATTTATTCTTCACAAGTAAGGATAGTTGATGTGCAGTAAGCAACTTCCTTTTAAGTCATACAGCCACCTCTGAGGAAGGCATACAACAGTGTGTATTTTATTTTCATATATATACATAGGTGGTGTGCAGGTAATGCTGTTTGAGAAAAATCCAATTTACACAGCCAAAATCTGCATATAGTAACCATAAATGTGAGGGATAGAAGCCAACCTTAATCTTGATATTTGTATTGCTGCTTTATAATTTTAAAATATATTTTAATTGGCCACTGTATTACAATTTTTAGAAATGTGTTTTAATTGGCCAGTAACAGACAATTCTCATGGATAGGAACAAGATTAAATGACACACCTTAATCTGGAGGCACCTATTTATTTTTGGGGGGAATTAAGTGCTTCCTGTGATAATTTGGCTGTAAGGCATCTTATTGAAACAAGAACAAAAGCAAATATCTATATGAGAGATCTGAATTCTCCTGAAAGAATAGAACTAAATTTTTTTTCAATACTACTATTTCTTTGTTTCATTACAGTTTCCTTAAAAAAAATTATGATGTAATTGTAAAGGTACTTTGACTGTGCCTTCCATATGGCAGATGAATTTCTAAAAACAGAATCTAACTTTCTCCTCATGCCTCCAAAATGAAACTAGAGCAAGACACTAATATTTACCTGATTGTTGAGAAAATGTTTTTGTAATCTCCAATTAACTTTCCCTTGCACAGGAAAGTAACTTTATAATAGGTTGTTACCAAAACTAATGACATGTGAAGGATTAACTTAGTTTAAGGTCAATATGTATCACAAAAGTGTTGCTGTATTTTAGTATAAGAAAAATTACTTTAAATAGCTATTTTAAAGAAAACCTTAGTAAGATAACTGATTCTAAATTTAATTCTTGTCAGTATTTTAAATTCCTGTATTACAAAACAGTCATGTTTCCATGAAATTCTTTATATTCTTAATCAAATGTAGATATCTAAGTAAAAATTGCTGTATTTTCTGCAGTGCTGTGCACCTCTACCTGACCTCCCCATTGACCTAAATGGGATTGGAAGTTGCTCAGCACCTTTGAAAATTAGATTAATTTTATTTAGTGTATAAATATGGGTTTGGGCACCTAATGTTAGGCTCCCAGATTTGAAAATATGGACCCCTGTATTTTTATTTTTTTTTCTCTAGCTCTACAAATTCAGGAACTCCAATATTTCTCTTAAACATGGCCTACCATGGATTAATGGCAAAACAAATAACAGGGGTGAGTGACCCATATATAAAAGGGTTATTTTTAAGCGCAGTAGTTAAAATATTGAATCCACCTCAAAACAAAAGTTAAGGTAATGCCTCTTGTCATTCATAGGGATATATTGTATTAACCTCTGAGGTGGAGTATGTTGATCTCAATATATATATCCATTCCCCAAAATTACTTATGCTTCATATTTCTACAAAGGACAGAAAGTAGCATCCTTTTTTGTTGCTGCGGGGAGGATACACACAAGTAGCTAACTGAATTAGAAAGAATCTACAATTCGTTTTTCTTCAGACCTACATGCCCAAAATATTTCTAGCTGGGATGTATTGTGTGAACTGAGCGACTTTTTTTCTTTAAAAGGCATTATAACTAGTAAATACTAAGCATAGTTTTCCTAAAATGCTTGATAACATCATAGTTGGTAAATTGTTGTCCAGCTGACAATAGATTCCTTTTCTTTTGTTCCATATTCATTAGTAAAAGTACCCTTATGTAAAGTTATTCCTCCTCTCCCAGATATATATATATATGCACAGACTTTCTTCCCATTAGTTCTTTGGCCCTTATTATTCTGATGAAAATGGGAACAAATTGTTGTAAGGAAGACAAATTCTCTAAGAAAAGAGCGAGGCAGTTAAAGAGAACAACCAAATTGCACAATACGCTGCAAGGTTGACTAGTACGCCTTTAAAAATGAGTTAAGTTTAGTATAAGTGCATCTCTCCTCTTAAGATATTTTAATGTTTAGCCACAACCCCCCCCCCCCCCCAGCAAAGTAGAGGGAGTTTTGTCTTGTCAACTAACCCCCTCTAGTGCTGAACAGGCTGCATATGACCTGCGGGCTGCTAGCAGCTTCCAGGCTAGGAAAGCTCTTCGCCGCTTGCTGCATACACACACACGCACGCACTCAGTATCACCTCTTCTCAGGAGAGCAGCTGAGGAGGGGCCAGCGAGAGTCCGAGCTCTTCCTTGCTTTTCACCTCCCCCCCCTCCACCTGCCACACTCTGCCCACATTTAGGACCAGCCGCATTATTGCGATCCATTTCTTTGGGGGGGAAGGGTGTTCTGCAGCGAGCAATGCCCGCTGCTTGCAATGTCCGCCTGCCCGGGGACGGGGAGACCCCCCGGCTCTGCACGCCCGACGCCAGCTCGGAGCCATCCCGCGGGCGCTAATGAGGGGTGATCGCTCCAGAGGCGGCAGAGAGGAGCGGCGGCAGCACCCAAGGCTGCAGCCGACCTGAAGGCAAGGCAGCCCGGGAGAGAGAGCCGCCGCAACCGCACCGAGCGCCGCCGGATTCCTGCTCGCGCCCCTGCCCAGAGGGAGACCGCTCGGGGGGGCAGGCGCCGGGGCTCCTGCGCGCTGCAAGTTTTGCCGAGGTGTGAGGCGGCTCGGGGAGCTGTCCAGCTTTCTTCAGCGTCCTCCCGCCTCTGCCGGGGGCCCGAGGGCTGGAGCTCCCTCCTGGCTGGGGGGAGGGCGGGGGCTGAACCGCCTCGGCGTCGGCTCTCGTGGGGGGGCCGGGCGGTGCGGAGGCGGGATGGGGATGCTCCGGAGCAGGAGGCTGCCGCCGCTGTGGGGGCTGGTGCCGAAGCTGCTGCGGGGCTGACGGGGCTGGCGGCGGCAGCCCGGGCGGGAGGGCAGCAAGCTCCCACGCCCCTAGGCAAAGTTCCCGGAGCTCACCCGGCTCCCACCAGCGACTGCGCTCCAGTGCCCCGGCCCCCCAGCCAGGACGGCAGCTCCAGCCCTCTGCCCCCTGTGGCCGCTGTGGCTACTCCTCCCTCGGCCGCCCCGGGACCCCACCAGCGGATGCAATTACTCCAGCCTCTGCAGCACCTGGCGGCAGCCCTATCAGAGGCACCTGGCTAACTGGACCCTGCCCTCCGGCGTTGGGGGCAGCAGCGTTTCCCACTGGCCTGGAGGAGGAAGAGGACCTGAAGCCCGCCCCGCCTTCTCGGGGCAAGGACCAGGGGGCGCCGGCACCAGCCATGGGGGGTTGTGAAGCGAGAGGTTTGCTCTGGAAATTTGGCCTGTTCTTCCCTTTGCTGACGGCGTGCCCGGCGGGCTGCAGTCCAGTCTCCGGCAACCAAGGTAAAGAGAGGCGCGGCGGGGTGGGAAGGCATCACTCTGTGTGGCTTTGCTCAGATCAACTTTTCTTACCTCTAGGCACCTGGCTGTGGCAGTCGGGTGCTGGGGAGCTGGCAGTAGCCATGGCAATGACGGGAGCAATATGCTTATCCTGCACAGCTGGGGGTACTTTGCTGTCCCTCTTCTAAGAGGGCGAATTGGCTGCCTCACTTCGGGGACTGATGGGCAATGTTCGAATTCTAGAGCACCAAGAAGAGGAACAAGTGAAGGGGGATTCCGCAGCCCCCCCCGACAGTGGTTGGTCTAGTGCTCTCAGAGGAAATGCTCTCCGTGAGCAGGAAATGTGGTACTGATTAAAAACCTCAATGAAACTTGTGAAGACCTCAGCTCTTTAAGTTCACATGTTACCAACATACTATTCTTTTGGCTCAAGTGAGATCTATGGATACAGGTGGCAAATAGATTAAATATTCTGCCCATTTCTGTAAAATACAACCTGTGTCTTCTCTGTAGGGATTTCTCTTGGGTGGGTGATTGTTTCTGGGACAGATAATAGGAAGCAAAAATACCTGTCTTTTTCATTTGTTCTCTATGAATGATTTGGCAGGTAACTCCCTCAAAGGCAAGTAGATGACTCTTTAAAAGTTAGTATTTCTGGAAAGGAAGCATATAGTGTGTGTTTGAGAGGTGGGGGCGGGGGCAGGTTGAATATTAGAACTGTTTTCTTTTGCAGTAAGAGACCAATCATATACCCACTGAAGTCCACAAAAAAACTCCCTTGGATTTCAAAAGGGATAAGACTGAATCTTAAAATACAAGTGACTAGAAAAGTGTGCCATCCTGAATGAAATTGGTGTGGTATTAAGGGGACTTTTTTGCCCTATGATAGCAATATCAGAGCATGTAGTGTAGAAAGGAATCTTAGTCCTGATGTAATCAAGATCATATCGGGCTTTCTATATGAATGTCTCTTTCCATAGGTACATAACTGTACAGTAGAACTTGATCTAGGCTGAAAGTTGGCACAGAATGGTAGCATATTTTTATTTAAAATTTGAATTATAAGATGTGCTTTCCTCTTATTTAGCTCAAGAAGCACATTCAACAAAGAATGTTGGAAGCTCACAGCATCTAAAATGAGATGATTGCTCCCTTTATTCAGAAATCATAGAAAGATCTCAAGATGACATTTTAAACCTTATTTTGCATGTGGCAATTCTTGGTTGCCCAAAATGCTCATTTAATATATTATCACAGGCACACGCCACTTACGTATTACTTGACACAATATATTTTACCCCCTTGGCTACAGTGTAGTTCATGCTAAAATGTAGTCTCTGTACCAAAAATGACTCTATTTAAAAAGATCCATAGAAAATATCCTGTGTATTCAAGGAACATTAAGATTTTGTCAAAGAAATTAAAAGGAAACAAACATAGCTGAAGGTGAAACATACGATATTGCATGCCATCCAACATCTGAGTAGAACAGAGCATTTCCTTAACTGCGTCCTTAATGTACTTTTTTTCCTGCCAAAATATTGGAGGACATGTGTGATATATTTAATCCTTAACTGTTTTGGATATTTGGGCATGACTCAACTTCATGTGATGTAATTTTAGTGTAGGCGTAAAATCAAATAGTTGAAGGACAGTTTTAAAGGGACACATCCTAAAATGTTTATCTGAAATATTTTTAACCATTATCATTATAAGGAATACCTAAGATTGCCACAGTAGGAAAAGATTAGAGGAAAGGATTTTTTTTTAAATCATGCATTTGATAGCACTTATTATAATCAATTTCATATTTCCTCAGTACAATAAATTTTTAATGGATTTTTATCACAAGAAAGAGAAAATAACATTTTTAGACACTGGAAAAATGTGACCATAAAAATGCAAAAATTTGCATGAGGAATCAGGGGCAGGTATAGTATCTGAAACTATACTTAATACAGGTTTTTAAAATTACTAGAGATTAAGTTGATAATGACCCTTTAACTCTTCTATAATAAACTTTTTAAAAGTTCAGGTATTGTAATTTTTACAATTTATAACTTTACCAAAACCATTGAGTACATATTTTTTTGCACAGAAAACACAAATCTTCCATGGCAGCACAATATTGTTAGTCTTTTAGCTCACCTTCTTGCTAGAGCATACTAAAGTCTACTATATTACAAGGCCTATCCAGGCACACACAATATATATATAGTTAATAAAGCAAAGTATGTAGTCATTTTGAAAAATTTAAAGCCTGATTACTTGGACTAAGGATAAAGATTTTTGTAGGAAATAATTTAAATTAGATTAGTATCTACTCATTGATGTGTATGGGGTAATTAAGTTGGCAATAATCTTTAAGCATAGTTTAATTTACAGGGTCAAAGATTATGAAGAAAAAGTTAAGTAAAACAAATTATCCCAAAAGAGAGTTCCTCCAGGATTAGTCACTTTTTAAAAAATAATTTTTGAAAGTTTTTTTTATATGCCTTTCAATAGATTTATTCAAAGAAAGAATATAACTGTCATGAACAACGTTGGGATATCCAGTTATTTGCTGAATACAGTACTCTGGGATTTCCTAACAGTTTAATAATTTCTCCTTTTACACTTCATTTGTGAAAACTTTCAGTACTCTAAGAGGTCATTTTTGAGCATCATGATTATATTATAAAAATCACACAGTTAAAAAAAATCCTACTCAATCTGATATTAATAATGAATTGAAAATGACTAAAATAGGCCCCAAATCCAAAATGCACACATAAGAGCATCTGCTTAATAAAATGTTGTCCAATGAAGTTTAGTTTTAAGGGAGACTTTCTCAAAATAGAGTGAAAACTGAAAAATATTGCATTAACTCAAAGTGGAATTGAATGGAAAATCTGGATACATTGGGGAGGTCATTCATTGTATAAACACACTCAAATGATTAGTATTAAAATACCTGTTGATTAAATTTGGATACCCAAATGTTAAGCACCTCTAAGAAATTTTCAAGATCTGCTGTAGTACACTAAAGAAAATAATAAGACATTGCTGTTCTCAAGTTTTCATATGGCAACATTTCAGAATATTAATTTTGAAAATTGAGTTGGGTAAATCATAATAAAAAAAAAGGCTGATTAACTTCCATTGAGTTTTGAGTTTGGCTTTAAGATTTGATGTCTTTGACCTCTTATCTTTCAATGCATATTTGCAAATGGTGAAGACATAGGTCCACATTAATATCAAAAGTCTAGAAGAATCACAAAGGAATATTCTTTAAGGAGAAAAATAGAAAAATGAAATAAATTACTCTATCCCACCATGGCAACAAAAAGAGCCTTTAATGCACTGTTTGCAGTTAATCCTCTGAAATGATGTTTTTCAGTATCATGTCAATAGTATATTCCAGTTTTTAAAGGACTAAATAAATCCATAGATTCAGAATAGGTAAGGGTTCTTTTCCTTTTAAAAAAAACAGACTGAAACCTTTAATTTTTTAATATAGTTCCTAGACTCTTTGGTTCTTACCCTTCACTCAGTAAATCAATGCTTGGTGTCTTGTTCTATCTGTAGCAAGGCAGACTGAAACAGTAGTATTGACAGAGGAGTGAACTTACTCATTTATCTTAATGGAGTGGTGAGTTCAAAAATAAATTGCAACCATCCTAAGAGCTAGTTTCTACTGTTAAAAAGATCTGTGGACAGATGAGATACTTGTCCACACATTTCTGTGCAGAAGCAGTGAATCAGAAATCAACCTTAAACAGGCATTCTTGCAACATAGACCTCACTGGGTGGATCTCGGGTGGGATGTTTGTCCAGACTCACATTGATCAGCTACCAATATCCAACCACTAGCTAGCTGAATAAATGAGACTAGATTTTATCCTGTATTGATGCTTAGTTGTTTGGCTGTCAAACTCAGAGCAGACTTCTTCTGTATTCTCAAAGATACAGAAAGTAGCATCCTAACTACAAGTCACTTTATCAGAAATATACTTGTCTAGAAGATGTGGGTCAAAACAAATCATTCAACAAATTATTCAACAATCCCAGATATTTTTAAAATATCTTATGTTGGAAGAAGACAATAGCCAACAATTCCTGGGCTGCATCCTCTATTAAGTTATTTACTATTTTCTGTCACCAAAAGTTTAGAAAAAAAGAAGAAAATGACAGGGATTGCAGAATTTTATAGCATGTTTCGTGCATGTCAGTGAACTTTAAGAGCAAGTCATACACCTTTTTGGATATTATGTATCAATGCATTTTGCCAGCTTGTGAAATGTACAAGCTTGGTCTGTTTCATGCTATTTTTAAAAAGAAACTATATCCTTTGTCCACATAGCACAAGTGTGTAGTATTAAAATGATGTCAAATTTTAATGATAAGATTGATTTCCCTTCCCCACCACCTCCAGTAAAATTGAATAGCATGGCTCAAAGTACAGATAATGGAGCCTTTCAGCTATAGGTCAGTACTTGAAATCTGAGACAGATTAGGAGTCACCCAAAATCATTATCAGCTGAAGGAAGTTGGGGGATTTTTTTAAAATCAATTTTCTAATGGATAAATACATATCTCAGATACAACACTGTCATAATTGCACATGCTGAAACCACAAACAGGAATAATGAGCGTATAGAGTCATTGGGTATAGAAATTGAACTACTTGCTTGCTACTACAAGGTTTACCTCCATGTCAGGACTTGAGACAGTATGAGGAAAATTGTGCTGCCTGATGTCAACATTGTACTTGTCTTGTAGGCAGGGGGGTTTGTCATTCTGGATTGTCCCTCTATACCTTTTGTTAACATTAAAGTCACTATGGAAAATATGAGGGAAAATGAAAAAAAGTAACTGTACCAGTCTGGGAGAAGTGTACAGCTTCCCTTTAAAAGACCATAAAATGAATAATGAGAACAAGATTATTTCTGCCTCAAGCTTTCAATAATTTTTATAGAACTTAAACTGTTCCAGAGTTTCCTAGAGCCATATAATAATCTTGAGTGCTAATGACAGAATAGGAAACTTCTCAGTAGCAGATATGCGTGCAACTTTATATATCTAGTAGTCTAGAATAACTAAGATAAACAGATTTGAAGAGAACACTTCATAAAATATTGGTTCTAATGCTGAGTTAGCACTTTCAGTCCATCTCT